TTTATGTTTTGCTGTTTGGGCGGGTGTTTTTGTTTTTGCCGTTTGGGCGGGGTCCACGCCCCCACCCAAGCAGCAAAAATCAACACGCCCCCGCCCAAAGAGCAAAAAACAACCGACCAAAAAGCACAAACAACAAAGAAGACCAGACAACAAAAAAACAAACACTCTTACCATATTATTGCAAGTCCCATGAACCTGAGGTCATCAGCGCACCACTGCGAGAGAAGGAGCGAAGATCACCCAAACGAAGCTGCGAAGAAAAGTGCGTCCGGGCAATTCGGAAACTTCCGAAGATGATGGTGTGCTGCAACTCACATGAGCTGTAGTCTAAAATCTTTAAAGGTGGTTATATAGTGGATTATATAGGGGACCACTATAGGGGTTATTTGTGGGAACATTAGGAGTTTAGACTAAAGCTCATATGTAAGGAATCTGTTGTAGAAGGGGCTCGAAGAGGATCCTCATTTTTGAGCTTCTATGTGGCGATCGATGTTCGAAGGCATAACATCACTCAATTGACATTCGCTAGTCTTTCTTGCCTAGATTCAGGGTTTAGGGTTTACGGGTTGCCTAAGCCCTAAAGCCTAAAACCTACAGGGTGTAGGGTTTAGTTACCATGACCATCATTCATCACCGGGGCATGTCGAGTATTAGTTGTCCTCTGCCGGAACATCCCCTCAAGGGAAGGACCTCGGCTTCCTGGTGGTTAGTAAGGTTTAGGGTTTGGGGGTTAGGGTCTTGGGTCCCTATCTGATCCCTACATAATATATTCCCATATCCCCTACCGACCCTCCAGTACGTACAAAAACAAGTGTTTATCATCAGAAGGACACTGCTTGGGTTCGATTCAACGCAGCTTGCTTGACCTCACTTAAACTGACATAGTGTGACGCTTTTGGCAAGCTTGTTTAGCCCAGTCTTGCCGGAACCACTGTTCTGACGCGTGACACTGCAGTCACTCAGCATGCCCTTCTGTTCTTACCATTGCCCTGCTATTTCCTTGGTACGGATTGTTTTTAGTAATTTAGCAATGCGGAACTGCAGAAGTGAAGCCGTGTCATGATGTTTTCGGTTATGTTTACGTCCCTCGCACGTGCAACCCACCGTTTCGAATGATGTCTAATCCTGAGCATCTTCGGGCACTAGTTTGTGACAGTACTGGTGCTAAAGAGTGCCCGCGTCTTCTGGAACATCTGTTGGTACGTCATCATACGCCATGCGAGCTTGTGCGCCAGCCAAACCAGCCACACTCTGGGACACCTTTACCCAAATAGTGGTTGCTCAAAACACTGTCTTTTGCGGGACCCTTGTTTTTCAAGGATCGTGTTGTCAAACCGTTAAGCCGCTAAGCCCACCACTAGTCCCTGCCAAGCAGGACCCAAGCTGCGAACCGGTTGCCGACCCCGCAACGCAAGTGATGACATTCCAGATGCCACAATGTCATAAGCAGCTCACCCAGCCAGGCCGAACTTTCCATCGAAGAGGGCCTGTTCTTCCCCATGTTTTTAGCCCTTCCATTTTTAAGGCTTTCTTGAAAACACCTCAAAATTCGGGCGCGTGATTCTAGGTCATAGTGTCAAAAATCACGACAAAACTTGCCACATCAACCTTCCCCTTGAGTATTGGCGTCCCAAGCGCATTGCGCCGCGAATGGTGGTCAAGCAGAAACTCTGCAGGAGCAGCGTCACTCCACAACGTCGGAAGCACAGGAGGCCTTGTTTATTCACAGATTGCCTGTCAGAAGACATTCGTGAAGCATCTCATCTCGCTGGCAAAAGTTTGCGCTGCATGAGCCAAACCCCGGTATGATGTTGGGTGCTCAGAAGGGTTGGCATTATTTTACCCCGCCTCATTGTGCGCGTGTATACCCACCACTGCATCACAAGTGCAGCTGATGCTTCGCAGACTCGTGTACCACAAATTGAAGACGTACAGACCCCGCCCCAGATCCTTTGCCACGCGTCTGTCACCCTGAATCCTTTCAGCGTTCGAACCGCAATAGGGCCGACCTCGTGAGCCAGGCTGGTTGCTTGGGATTGTATACCAGGCTCAGAATGCACGACCCGCCGATGAGCTGAGTGAAGCAATTCTGGCTTGGACAGTACAACCGCTGGACATACAACACATCAGAACACTTCGCAGCTTGCCCGCGACGGGAAAAGCACCACTTGTCGTGCTTTGCGTTTACGATTTCTCATCGGAGAGCTTCCCGTCGTGTGCGGACACAGCATCCAAGGGATCGCTAGGCAGGCCTCATGCATAATTAGGAGGGCCACGTTGCGGAATCAACCGTTGTGGCGCGCTTGCAATGCAAGCTTTTGCCGCTGGAATTTGTGCAGCTGTTGCATGCTGCCGTCGTGTCAGGAAGGTGACGTTGCTCGCAGCTTAGAAGGTTGGTGCGCATCGTCAGAATGCATCCGGCGACAAAGCGACACAACAAGCAGGTGTACAGTGGTGTTGCAGGGGAGAATGGCGATTGTAGCACGCGTTGCATGTAACTGTGAGTGCGAGCTGCGTCCGCGAAGCACAAACGCGGTCGTTAAATTGCGGCTCGAGCACGCAATCGTGACATGCATGTGTCGCTCATGACGTCTCTGCCGTTCCAACGATTGGGCGTTGGTTGTTGTGACTTGTAAGATTCCCATCCCCTCGCAACAGCTCCTAGGAGGGGGGTGTGACGTTCCATCCCAATTGAGTTTGGGACCATCTTGTGGAGGTGGGAAGGGTTCCTTGAAGTTCCGGAAATACGCCTGCGAAATCACTCGACGGGACAATCAATTGTTTGTTTTTTGAAATTTTGGTCCCAGTGAGCTTGGGACGGACACCAGCTGTTTCGGGCTCCGCATGCCGGGGCCGAGGGGTCACCCTTCCTATCTCTTCTTCCAGCAAGCATGCAATCTTGCATGCCGACCCTGCTGACCAATTTCACGGCAACTTGAGATTTCCGCAGGTGTTGTTCCAGGACCTCCCAGGAACGCTGCCAGAGGGTGAGTCCGCCCATACAAAGTGGCGTGTTTATGCACGGTATACCACGGAATCATACGTGTCTTTTTCCAACTCTTACATCTAAACATATCTGTATACATGTATGCATTGTGGGTGTGTATCCGTGTGTGTTTTTTGTCGCGTTCTTTTCTGCGCCTGCGCTACCGCATCCTTTTGGTCGGCACTCAACATGGCCCCATGGCTCCAGGACGTGGCACGATGTGTCCAGGCTTTTCCGGCGTCCATGTGTGTTTTTTTGGATTTGTGTCCTGGTTTGCTGTGGAGTTTTGGCTCACTTGGCGTTGCTACGCATCTGATACGTAGTGGTCATCTGTAGCCGCGTGTTTTTTTGCATGCGTCATGGACTTCAAATTCTTCAGGAACAGATGCGCTTTTGCTTGCAACGTGCACGACGCCAACACTGTATTGTCTGAAATATTGTGAATTATTGTGAACTCAACATCAGGTTTTGTTATTTCCTTGTTTCCGCGAGCGGTTCCCAAACCAAAAACAAATTGCTCTCTTGGAAATCATCGTTTGCATCAATTCCCATTCGTTTGCCCCTTTACTACACGGGTCGTGGTTCCCATTGTAATTGTTTTTGAATTGCCGATGGCACACCCTTGTCTATCACAAGCACATTTCAAAAATGGGGAGGGGTGTTCATGGTCACTGTGACACCTGCAGGAGTTTCAGGGAGAGGGACGCGGCACCCTAAATTTTAAAGGGTTGCCATCTCCTCACACCAGGACGTGAAAAGATGAACCCCAAATTATGACCGGCGAAAACAAATGCGAGCCCACGAAGAGAGTACAGATACCGAGTACACGCC